TAACCAAATAATAAATTATTGAAATAAAGACAATCATGAAGTAAGCTAGTATCTTACTATTTCATGTAGAAAATTAAATACAACCTAAGCGTGGACGGTACCTTGCAAATACCGTTCAACAGACCGAATCTTCAAGATTTTCGATTTTGCCGTTTTGGACGTTCTTAACGGATTCTTATTTTCTCTCCTTTATTTGTATGAGCTATATCTTATGTAATAATATTATAAGTTTAAAAAACAGGTTTATTTTCCATAATCTTAATTCTACAAAGACAATCTCTGTTATTTTACTATACGTAAAGAGAATAAAATACTCTTTAAGAAAAAACATAAATACATGCTGCTAATGTAGGGTTTTAACCACCTTCCAATGATTTTGTGTATGCGCTATTGGTTTTGAATTTTTTATGTACCAACACATTTCTATCTATTCTAAAACTTTGAAATATTCTTTTTCATAAACCATTTTTGTAAATGTAACAGGTGTTGTTTAACAAATATATATACTAAACTAGTGTTCATATAAATGTGTATTTATATTTATATGCTAGAAAGCAGCTTTAAGGATACGATTTACCTGTCCCAAAATTTGTCCGCGTCCAGCAATGATGCTGTCTTGATTTGGAAAGTGTCGTTTGATATTCTTTCTACTTCAAACAATCTATTTACGTCTATATCTAGAAAATAAATAAAGTATAAGATATAACCAAATATAAATTATATAAATCTATACGTACTTTTTCAAAAGGGACACTTCTTGTTTGTTTGTTTTTTAATTTTTGTTGTTGGTGGTGTTTTTTTCGGGGGTTGTGCTTTTGGATTTTTTGCGGGTGTTTTTTAACGCAACGGATCCGAGCAAAAACGATATCAGTCCGGATTATTTTGATAGAAATTTTTCATTAGACAAACAAAAGCAGTATAACCTTTCAATATGCATCCCATAACTTATCAGATAAGTGTGAAACTAAAAGAAAAATATCGATTGCCTTTTCACTACGTTACACTCTTGGATCTCAGCGACTAAATGGTTTAGATCATCGACTTTAAAGTATCCATCACTGCTGTGGGTTCAAACGCAACTTATAGCAGCACATTCGCTGTGAACATAATTGTATGTTAAGTTGGTTGAGCACAGTATTCATTCAAAACTGATTAAAGAGCATATATGTGACATTTACTATTAAAGTGTCTTACGAGCTTAACTGTAATGATGGCTCAAATAATTAGACTCAATGAACATCAATTATTATATGATAAGCTGATGTATATATTATATATATAGGGGTAGGTCCTACATCATGTTGTTCGGTGTGTTCGGTGTTTTACGCGAAAACCAAGCGTGAAAGTCTTACTAATTGTGGCAATTCAATTGTAAATATTCTGATCAGCTGCAATTGGCTTGGGCTTTTTAGCTTGCCAAACCATTCTGCATCATTGGAACGATACTATAAGCTCACAGTTAAACAATTCAAACTCGTTAAGCACATATAAAGTGCTTCCATATTCGGCTTTGTAAACTAAAATAATAAATGCGTGTTTTGGGGCACCTGAAGATCATTTTGTGTAAACAAAATTAATAACTGAATCCCATTGTCAACTAAAGCTGTTCGGAGGAAAGATTTCAAGTTCAAATATTCCGTTTCAGTCGTACAATGTCTTTAAGGGATAGAAACGGTGATAACTTTAGATACACCTTGCTAACTGCATCATCAATTTTTACGTCATCTTCATAGCAATCAAGGAAAAGTAAAAAGAAAAAAATTCAGCGAACACTACGGAAACTTGAATTTGAAAATGTAAATATTGTCAAGCACTATATGATGTTGTAGATACAAAAACACTTCGTAAATTTTTTAACTAGTTTTTTTTCAACAAATGTATATCATACAAATATTCAAATATGCATTTTTAAAGTATCATGCCTGATTAAATAAATCTTTAATGAGAAGAAGTGAATACGGGTGCAATTATTTTCGGTAAAATTCGTCGTTACATGGATACTGTCATCAAGGTTTCTACGGATGTTTCTAAATTCAAAATTTTACTATTTCACGTTTAAATGTTGAATTCTGCTTAAGCCGGTGCTAGGGGGCGTGGACGGTAACTTGCACTTTCCAGTACCGTCCATGAACAGGCTCAATCAAACCGAGCCTGCAACATTTTCAATTTTTCCGTGTTGGGCTTTCTTTAGGGATTCTGTATTTATCTATTTTTTGCTAGTACAAGTTGAAATGCCAAGAGAGAGGTTTACAATTAAATGTTTAAAAAACTAATTAAGCATTGATATGTGGCACTAAGTTTATTCATATTGAATATCAACAAGCTTTGGTTAATCTTCAGCATAAAGAAGAAAGACAACTTTCTGAGTTTGGACAATTTTCATATTATCAGACAAAGTGACATTTTGAAACATCTCTGAAACAAAATAATATTCTCATAAATAATTCCGTGTTTTAGAAGGTGAGGAAGATCTATTAAGTGAGGTTGGGGCTCACTTATTACGCGAACAATTGACACTGGTCGATTACTGTGTCTATTTGACAATGAACGGGTTGTAAATGTGTAATTGTGTGTCTGTTAACTAAAACATACATCATTCAAATGGCGCAAAATGGTTTGTAAAGCTAAACATCCGAAGCATATTTCTGCATATTGACATGAAAACGAGTCATTTTCATTGGCACTCCTTCAATAAATTTTTTGTGCCATATTTTTCTTTCTAAAAGTACCAACAGTTAGTAAACATATATGGGTAGGTACTTGTCATATACATTATACAATTATTCCAAGAAAATTCGATTACCTGTTGCTATATAAATCAAACTCCTGAATATTTACTAGTTAAAAAGCACATTCATATAGTCTAGCGTAAAACTTAAAGTCTTTTTTCAAACCAGAAAATATATTAAAGGGTTTGGCAAATATAACCTGCCAAAGATTTAAAAAATATATTTAAACATTTTTCGGGTAAATTTATGTAATAGTATGAGAAAGAAAAGAGATTCGTTTATAGAATATCTATCAATTGAACGCAAGTGAGAGAGTAGTAATGAAAAATATATATTAAAATAGAGAAAATAAGAATCCATAAAGAAAGCCCAACTCGCCAGAATTGAAAATTTATGGCTCAGTTTGATTGAGCCTGTTCATGACTACTGTCCACGCCCCCTAGCACCGGCTTAAGCAGAATTCAACATTTTATATGAACTGGTACAATGTGGAATTTTGAAACTAAAAGGGCGGTTATCATGGAACCTTCAATGTGACAAGTAAATACCATTACATGAAAAGCGGCATATGTTCCCCAAGTAAAATAATGCATGTGCCATAAACGAGAAAAACAATGGGCGGAACTGAATGAAATGGAAATTTGCAACAGGATCAGAGGTTATGAAGCCAGCATATCACAGATGAGACGCCAAAAGACAAATTTAAAAAGCCTGCCACATATCCTAAAGGGTGATTCAACAGTATTCAAGTGAGGAATACTGGAACAACCCAACAAGAAAATAGCCGAATAGAAAGAACTAAATTACCACAACCACAACAATTATGTCGTGCTGAACGATCTTTAAGGATCGGAAATATAAAATCTCTGATTGAATGTACGGGGCGACATTTTACAGCCCCCAAACAGCACAAACAACGCTGATGTGGCGAAAAAATAGAGAAAACAAGAATCCCTAAAGAAAGTCCAACACGGCAAAATTGAAAATGTTGCAGGCTCGGTTTGATTGAGCCTGTTGATGGACGGTACTGTCAAGTCCAAACTACCCTTCACGCCCATTAGTACCGGCTTAAGCAGAATTCAACATTTAACATGAACTGGTACAATTTTGAACATCCGCAGATGCATTCATATGGCGGTTATCATGGAACCTTCAATGTGACACGAAAGGACCATTCCATGAAAAGCTTACATTGCTTAAACTTATTAATTTTAAACAATATTGCATTAAATGTAGGAAGTCATGACTTCTTTTTGCTTTTAATTAAATAAATTTACCTGTGTGACTTTCTAATTCAATCTGTAAATCTCCTAATTTTCCATCATCCGGGTCAGATATTGAGAGGTTGGCTACTATTGTACCGACTGGGACATCTTCACGTACTTCCGTTATAAGGTAATCCGGTAGAATAGTTGGTCGATCATTCACCTCTTTCACGTCTATCCTAATTGGAACGCTATTTAATGTTACATTCTTGTACGGCTCTTTCAGTACACTGACACGTGTCTGTTGTCAAATAAAAAACATGACCAAATATGTTTTCAAGTTTCAAATTTACATCTGCGAACATCCCTAAATGCACGTTCGTGCAGTCGTTCAGGGACGGACATACGTGTATCACTTTGAAATAGCTACTGGCCGTTTGCAACCAAGATTTGCTGAAACGTTCGTGGCAGGTTTCGATTCTATGCCAACAGGATGAACCTGAACCACACTGAAATCTTTAAAAACAGTTGCCCATATTTATGTGGGGATCGTTTTCACAGCCAGCATGACAAAAGTAAAAGTGTAATCTTCTGTAGCGTGTTTCGAAATTCTATCATTAAACATTAAAATGTCACACTAGGGTTATTCTGATTCCACAATGCATTATTGTAGAAACAACTCCAAGACTGAGTTTTAAGAAAACGAGCTGTTTTTGGTATTATGATTAATGGTTGTATATAAATTAAAAATCCAACGATTTTATACAGTAGAATTATATGAACCGGTTATTCATATATTTTGTTAACATGCTTTCAAGTTTTCATTCATACTTGATTTTATTCCATTTAACAAGTTTTTATGCGGACAAAAGTTTATTCCATTATAACGATTTTGTCTTCAGATAAAACAAAGTAAGATATAGATATGACAAAAAATGAAATAGTTCAAAAGCGCAATAGCAAAGGACCAATATAAAATGCCTTTGATATTGTTTAATTATTGTTCCTCAACCACAAACGATTGATCGGAGAGGTAATATACACTACTCATTAGGTCTAATTGACGTCACGTCCAAATGAGTATACGTAGTTTGAAAATATTTATACGTAGTGTGAAAATATTTATATTTTTGCTTTTGTACGCAGTTATTATTCATAGAATAATGAATGAAAATAAAGAAAGACGGTCAAATTACACTTGTTACTTAATTCTTAAAAAAGGAAATTACTTACTAAAAAGGAGAAAAAACCATATACTTACATTCCAAGTATTTATATATGGTGTATTTTTTATTGTTAATACAAGGTAGTTTAAATTTCCAGATTTCACGTTCTCTACCATAAAGTATCTGTGTTCGTTATGTGTGATGTCTAATTGAAAATACACACTAATGTTGATCCAGTTGTTGCAGAAGAAACTAATTTTCGTAGAGCTGTCGCCTTTTGGAAGGTCGTCACTAATTGTTAGATTTATGTAATTTGGTGTGCACTCTAAAATAAAGGAATAAATAACTATGGATTAAGTTGTTCAGACATTCAGAGATGTTTGACAAATAAGCAATTAATATTTAACCTACGCGAACTAGAAGTCAAATTTGATGCCAGTCTAAATCTAGGCCCGAACAGTTTGACAACACTGGAGGTAAAATATTCTGCTACTGAAATCCCGTAAAATAGAATGTTCTAATTTTAAAGCATGGCAATAGGCATCATTTTGGAAAGTATTTTAATTTAACAATTTGCTTTGACAAAAAATATTTGTGACGCTTCGTTCATTTTATAGAGCTTTAAATTATAATGACGCATCTTACATGAGGTAGAATACAATCATAGACTTATGTCCATGTCTATATGTAATATATTATTCGGACCTGAAAAATGCTTATCGTCTCGGTGCATATACGTCAGCAAAAAAAAATGTGAATGACGGAAATATAAGACTAGTATCGTTTTGTCGTATAGGCCTACTGCAGGCTATATTAGAGTATTTTGTTTATCTTTTAAATGTTAAAGCCATCACGTCTTTACGTCTTTTTTGCAGACTCATGACGTCAACACAAATCAGAACATTGCTTACATGAACAATATACCATACAATGATCGTTTTATATTGAGCAAGGTCTACTAGAAATGCGCATTGTTGAACGTCATATGCAATCGAAGAGCTTCTGGATTATTATATTGTTCATTATTATAATCTCGAACTTGATACGGACTCGAATTGTAAATAAATCTACCACGTTGCTTTAGATGTACGAGGGCTGTTCAATAAATACGTGGAAAAGTGCTGCCATATTTTTAATATTCATTGGAAATTGACGTTCTCTTTACAATTTGTAAATAAACATATAATAAACATGTACACAAAATTTCAATAAAATCAGATAGAAATTAATAGTTCAATTTCAAGTACTTCTAAGGTAATCGCAGTGAAACCGACCCAACGTCGTCACGACGTCACGCTCAACGCATGTATGAGAGTCACCCAAAACACGCACCTAGTCCTTCTCGAAATACTCTCCGTGAAAGGAAACACACTTTTTACAACGGTTGATCCACGACATGAAACTTTTAAAGTAGGAGCCATTATTTATCTCTGAAATTGCACCTTGCACCGCGTAGGACAACTCGTCCACATCATCAAATTGTTCTCCCCGCAGGACGTTCTTCAGTGTCGGGAACAGAATGAAATCGCCTGGTGCGAGGTCAGGGCTGTAGGCCGGGTGCTCGAGGACTTCGAAGCCGAATTTCCTGATTGTGTACTGTGTTTCAGCCGCACGATGAGACGGTGCGTTATTGTGATGAAATATCGTGTCGGCGATTTTCGTGGCCCGCTTCTTTCTCATCGTCCTGATAAAATCGTGTCTCAGAATCTGAAAGCATAAGGAAATACAATCATAAGTAAATTGTCGTTATAATTTATTTTCATAATTACTTACACAAATATAAATGATTATTACGTAATGTATTGGCATAATAATGAATATCTTATTATAGTTTAAAAAAAATTATTCACCTTAGAATAAAACTTTGCCGTCACAGTCTGACCCAGGGATACCGAGTGGCTCAGTATCACACCGTCGACGTCAAAGAAGACGATGAACATCTGTTTCCTTGCAGATGGGCCGACTTTAAAATTCAAAGGTTAAGGCGATCCTGGAGTTTTCCACATAGAAGACTGTGATTTCGTTTCAGGTTCGTATAGGCTGAGCAATGTCTCATCAACAGTCACTATCCGTCGCAAGAAACGTTCACCCTCGCTATGAAGGCGTCTGAGAAATTGATTGCAACACCGCACCCTTTCCACTTTTTTGTTCGTCCGTCAACATTTTAGGAATCCACCTGGCGTCTCATATTGAGTTCATCGTGAATAATGCGATGCACTGTGCCAATGCTACAATCCGATCTTTCGTGTATTTCGCGAATTGTTATCCGACGGTCAGTGTCAAGCAGCTCTTTTATCACAGCGACGTGATTTGACGTTACGTTGGGACGTCCACTGAGTTTGTCGTCATGGATGCTTTGTTGGCCGCCTAGAAATCGGGCATACAACTTGTACATTGCTGTTTTCTTCATCGGCTGATCACCATATCCTTTTTGTAATCTTAACATTGTTTCTTTCTCTGAAAACCCGTTCAAAACACAAAATTTTATTGAAGATCGTTGTTCCGATGCCATTTTAACGCATACGCGCTAAACAATATGGCCGCTTAACGCCTAAATGACGTCACACGCTAACATGACGTCATGTGCGTAACGCCAACATATTGCGCGTAAATTAATTATAATTAAATAAAATTATGCAACTTTTGGTGAAAATCGCACGGTAAACGTGAAAATGCGACGTCATTATTAACCAGTGACTATTTGTAAAAATGAACAAAAGTTGGCCGGTAATCGCTACATGTGGTTTCCATAACGACCGTTTGTTAACATATGACTCATGCCAGAACGGAAATATTTGCTGTATATTTTCAAAATATGTTTGTCTCTATTACTGTATAAGTTTTATTCAGCTAAAATAAGGAAATAGCGACACTTTTGCGTGTATTTATTGAACAGTCCTCGTAAAAAAACAAGTAAATTGTATAACGAACGAACATATTCGACATCAAGGAAAGAGGAAGTCTTCTTCAGTAAATAAGTTATTGAAAATATGTCTGACATTAATAATCAATTTAAAAACGCTACTAATGTTCAGTTATAACAAAACTGCATTAACGTCGACTGAAAAACATTTGGTACTTTCGGGTGCTACACATAACAATAAGTAAATAAATAATGTACAGTTTACTTTAATATCTATAAAATCACTTAATGTAGGTGGACTTAACACGATATTGAAATTAACTTAGTCAACAACTCAAAGTATTAAATAACTATTTGTGTTACATGTTTAGTATATTTGCGTAGGCTAAATCAAAATATCGAATCTGTATCATAATGTCCGAGGTTCTTGTCCGAATTTTGACGGAAAGGGCCGAGTAGTTACGAGCACATACGTCACAGATTGAATGTATGTGATATTTTACAGTGTGTGATTTTTATTACAGTATTATATCAAGCAATAGCACTTTCCAAAAATGCTAGGAATCGCCTTTCATCCGGGTGTTTCTTTTGTTATCATATGACACTAAACTATCGGTACTAATTGACTTAGTGTGTACGAGTAGAAGTGGTCATATCTTGTAAATTATATATGAAGTCATCCAGGAACGGCGAAAATAGTAGTATATCTACAGAGTGATAGTTACCCACATTGTTGTTAAAATTAATAATAAACTAAGGCGACGTAGTTTTTTAAGACAAATTAATTTCCCATTGAACAATGAACTATGCAGACCATGATATAAAAATTGATTAAAAGAAATGTCGATTATACAAACATGAAATGTTACAATGACCTTGATCTTGAGCAGCAATGTCATATATTATTAAGGGTTTGTACCCTTTATATTATCTCCACGAGTCTACTGTATTACATAATCAACATGTGTCAACTTGATAAGAGAATCTACAAAAGTCAACTCTATAACATAATCTGTAAGAGTCAACTCTATAACATAATCTGTAAGAGTCAACTCTATAACATGATCTGCAAGAGTACACTCTTACATAAACCTGCACGTTTCAACTCTAATATGTCAGTTTTTTCGATCATTTTTATGATTTAATTACCATAAATTACATTCTTTTGAGTAGTTTTGTTGTTGTAGTGTCTTTGTTGTTGTTTTTTTATTTGGGAGCGGGGTTCTTTGGGGAGAGGGCGGATAATACCACAATGTACACTATATGTGTCGCATGTACATTATAAAAATGATTGTACATGTATATTAAATTGAACTTAAAATCTTCCTTAGTGTTCGTATCATGTTTTTCAATGCGTTTGTAAAAGTGTATGATTAGATTATATGTTCCTGATTATGATCCTGTCATATGAAAATATGTAAAATTTTAAACATAACATAAATGTCTTTATTATAACATTTTCAGATTTTTCCTTAAAACAATATTGCAAATTGCAAAATACCATGCAACTATAAAATATCATCATTCAGAGACAAAATCGCTTACATGTTTGAATGTACAAAAATGAGTTGCACTCACAAACTCTATTTTATTGTCACATACGTGTTATTTGTGCCGTGTGGCGGCTGTTAAAAGGCTCCCCGTACATTTAATCAATGATGTTATATTTTCAATCCTTGAAGATCGTTCAGCAGGGCATTTTTGTTGCGCATACATTTCAGATGGTATTTTTAGTTAGTTGTATTTTGCCTTTTTCAACTTGGGTGGTTCCAGTATTCCTATTTGAATACTGTATAATTACCCTTAGGATTTGTTGCCTGCTTTTTAAATTTGTCTTTTGATGTCTTGTCTGTGATATGCAGGCTTCATAACCTTAGATCCCCTTCAAAATTCCATTTTACTTAGTTCCGCCCATTGTTTTCTCGTTAAGGGCGCACGCATTCTTTTACTTGGGGACAATACGCCGCTTTTTAATGGACATTACTGTATCGCATTGAAGGTTCCATGATAACCGCCGTATGAACACATCTCAAATTTCTAAATTCAATATTTCACAATTTTTGTGTTTAAATGTTGAATTCTCCTAAAGCCGGTGCTAGGGGGCGTGGACGGTAAATTGCACTTTCCAGGACCGTCCATGAACAGGCTTAATCAAACCTAGCCTGCATCATTTTACAATTTTGCAGTGTTGGGCTTTCTTTGGGGATTTTGTTTTTCTCTATTCTATATTTAAATGTGAAAACGGATTAACCTAAGTACTATCCTTTTAAAAGTATATATGTACACAAATATGGTGCACTCTAAATTTAAACTGTTTAAGGTATTGATGTAAAAAAACAACAAAAAAACAAAACAAGTTCTACCATTAAGTAGTATCATTTACAGTAAATATACATGTGCAAAAATGGATTGCGTCTTATTGTGTATCTATTAAGTGTACATAGATGTGTACGAATACGGATTGAACTCTGAAATTAAATCTATTTAGGATATATAAATAGAAGTGTACAAGAAAACGTGCTTCACTCTTAAATGAAATATTTTCAGGACATATTTACGTGTGCAAAAACGGGTTGTACTCTTACGCTGATTTAGACTATACATGTATGCGGGGTCTTTCAAATGGACACTGATAGAGGTGCATGTAAAAAAATGGGTTGCACTCTTAAATTGAATCTATTCAATGTATTAAGGTATGTGCACAAACGGATTTTATTTTGAAAATGAATAAGTTTGTACAAAAGCGACTGTTATTCTGATCATAAATATCGGGTACTGTTTATATCACGCTCGTATTGTAATCTATTTAAAAAGTTACCTCGAGCTCATTGTAGTAAATCTAAATATTTATTGTAAAGTACTTTTATATCACCATTATATATCTAATAGTGATAATCAAAATTGTAAAACTAAACATTAAAATCGCACAGAGATCTCGTTGCAAAATAGTTTGGAATTTTTGGTTTAAACAATTCAAAATGCGAATGGTATTTCATCAAAATCATTTAACGCTCAAAATATCTCAACTTACAGGACTAATGATTTGCTTCGATATTTTTAATTGTGAGAATATATTTTATTCAATCCTTTCCTTAAGCGCTTTGCCGTTTGCTGTAGTTCCACTGTATTAAGCAAATACTGGGTTGCGTAACAGCTGTTCCTAAAGGTTATAACATACATGAATATATTTTAATTTGAGTATCGCTTTGAATAAATATATCTTAATTGATAATTCTCGGGCCTGATATATTTAAAGTCGGAGATATATATAAAAAATGAATAGTAAACGCATGGAGACTTTTGTCTCGTGCGATAAAGGTAGAATGTAACAGTTAATTTTTGAAATTCATTCGGCGACTGAAAATCAGACGTGGGTTCAGGGTATTTTAACGAACACTTTTTATAATAACACACACTGAAATCATCCAAATCATTCGAACCAAACAAATTAAAATAGTACAGTTAGACGACAAAACGTCGAATGAATCATAGCTAATGTAATCTTATTGACGTACCGTTGGTTTCCCGACAAGGATTCAAAGCGTTTTCGTCACCGTCTGAGCATGCGCATTTGTAATCTTTTCCGGAAACAGGTAAACAAAGCTGGCTGCACGTGCTTTGTAAACATTTGCTGAAAACTAAAGAAAATAACTCACTTAACACATATCATCTTCACATAATGAATCAAATGTCATTCCCTTTATGGCATTGGACTTAATGCAAAATAGCATCATGTAGAAATGTGAACTTTTGTTTGAATATAATACTTAATAAATTTACACGATTCGTGTAATGTTATACATGTATATTGAATTAGAATCTCTGGCAAAACAGTCATGTTGTCTTCATTTTTACATATCAGACTACATTTTCATCATAATGTCGGTGCACCATCAAGGTGCATGAGAGTTTGTATGAAATTCTAAATACTTTTTAATACCAGTGAATCAAAATTAGCATAACAAAATATTCCATTACCATTTTAATCACGTAAAAAAACTGACGCGTTTTATGATATTGAAATAATGTTTGTAAAAAAGAAACACTACAGTGTCAGGCATGAATTTTCCTTTACTGCATTTGCATTATGCTATGAACCATAGATATAGGCATGCTATTCTGACCTAAAATGACTTAAATGATAAAATTAGAGATGATTTGTTTGAATTGATGCTTTTTAAATACTCGTATTGATGAGAGAATCTCATTATATATGTAACTTATTTACATCTTGTCTAGAAGAGAGACTCGATTCATTTGTTAATTTATTACTGAAAGCTTCGAAATATATCTTATGTAGATATCAATATATATTAAAATAAACTCTGTTCATTAACAAACATTTACCAAAAACGAGTCTTTTAAAGTTCGCCAGCATATTAAAATCATTAACTCTGATTTTACATGATTGGCACCTGCTGATCAATTTTGGACTTGCCAATTATTAATTAAGGTCCGTGACTTTAAAACTATCAAATTACCTGTTTTAATATCAGTTTTCTTATAACTAGTAATTCCACTTAACGCGGAAAAGTTTGAAGTTCCAACTTGCTCCAGTTCCCCGCCATCTACACTTATTCTGTATACATGGCTAGAAAATAAAGAATAAGGCATTCACATATTTATTATAAATTTATGATTTTATAAAATGGCCGTTTTCGCCTAGCAGCCCGGGTCATAAATGCAAATAACTGTTAACATATATCCATAAAACCTGTTCAAAGTTTGTGTGACTATAAAGTTACATGAACGTGTCGTTTAATCATGGAAATAGTTATGGTAATGTTACATAAACACTCTGTTTGAGGTCCTATACAAATATGGAAATTAAATTAAATATAAAATGGCTTTTACATTATATACCGGTGACATGAACCTTTATTGTAGGTGAAAGAAGTATGATTTCAAATACTTAACAAATCATAAACAATTAAAATACCAATAAGAGTTTCATTCATGTTTGCTAAGAAACACAGAGTTATTCTATTAATTGAAACTCTCCCTTCATATGATTATAAGTGTTTCTTTTCTTCTTTTTCTTTGTTTCTTCTGTTGATACATTTTTAATTCTTACAGCATGTTTCACAATATAGGACTTCATTCCTTTTAAAAATGAAATTCTATATTCAATATGATAAAATAATTAATAATAAATACAATCTTTACATAGCAACACCCTTTGGGACATAAAATCTTTTTGAAACAGGTGTTCTTCAGGTTTAATTGCTCTACAGACGGTCGCTTTGAGAAGGTTGTGCTGTACTTACTTCCTGTATGTGATGTAAAGTTTATCTCCAACAAGCGTCATGCCATTAAAATCATAACGCGATCCCGATACCGAGGACAATTTTTTCTTTACCCCTGTATCAATGTTGATCCGGCCAATAACGCCATTATATGAGTCCATCCAAAATAAATTCATACCTGAAATAAGCAGATAGAAGACAATGACAACATCATATACGTCATTACTAACTTCGTAGGATTCCGACAGTTTCGACACTTCCCATGTCTGGTAGTGGATCGACACATGGCTCTCTATTTGTTTCCGAATGAGACGACACAGACCGATTTTAACAGAACAACTGGCTATTATCAATAATATCTTATCCAAAGTTTGACGGAAAGGGCCAAGAAGATGCGAATGACGTGTGGCTTAAATAAAAGTTTATTGTACACAAATCGTTCTCTCTGAATATTTAAACCATTTCAAATAAGAATCTTACAATGGGGAACAAAAATAAAAGCTAGTTGCGCATTATTTATGCGTCGAGGGCTTAAACGTTCTGAGATAACATGTATGACGTGTTAGATTAAAATTACATTAAAATAAAAAAAATACATAAGTGTTTGAGGAAAATCGCCAGTTAGCTGGGGTCCGGCATTTTAGAAATCTTGACTAGTTCTAGCAATGTGTAATGATCAGATTTCAGGAAGCTTTTGAAAAAAGCGTATAATAAAGCGCTTTTGAAGAAGACGCCATAGTCTTCTTTCCTAAATTACACTTCCGGTAAAAGTATGATGTTGACAATCAGTAGATAAATATAACATTCATTGATAAATAACTAAAGTAACGATGATTCACTTAACAAAATACTTTTTAACAGACATTTTATTTAATTATCTCGTTTAAATAAAGTAAAATTAAAATGTCAACAAATATGGTGAACAAGATATTCGGAGACACTTTGAATTCTTCGATGACAAGTTAAAACCATTAATTCAGTCCAATCCAATTAACGGAAAAAAGTTCTTACTCATGATTACGACAAAGTCCGAGGCAGATCTGGTTAATGTATTGAAAACTTTATGTTTGATATACAATCATAAGGACTTTCGGCGTCATTGGTAGCACCTTATTTCATATTCTTTACATATACGTGCGTAATTTTTAAGTATTAAAAATCTGATTTTATGATGTTCATGGAAGTATCTATGCTGCCAGGAAAATTTTTAATTATACCACGTGGCCTCTAAAACTAGATATATCACATCGTTGTCTCATTTCCAGAGTAACGTAACAGAGTGTTTGGTATCATTTTTCCAGCTCGTCGAGATCTATTTGCTTCCATTGAGGACGCATTTAAATGGTTTTTATTTTAAGTTTAATTCCATAATGACGCATAACCGGTTTTTGGCTACCAGAGTGACGTTAAAAACTACCCAGCACATATTGTATTTTGTC